TCAGACTGGGATTCAAAAGGGCTAGTGGGGGACGGTTTAAGATGGGCTGAATGGGAATGGGAGGTAAAGAGAAAAGTAGAATGCAGGGACATATGGGGATGGGGTCAAATGTGATTGACTGAAAAAGATGCTAGGGGTTAGCCGGGATCTACATGGGTGAGGCGCCCCAGCTCCTTAAATTCCTGCTCCCAAAATAACCACTTCAAACCTCCCACTCATATTCAGCAACCCTCCACATTGGCTTCTAGGCTTCTTCCCAGTAATTATTTTCTTATCCCTCAGCTCCTCCATTATCCCCTTTCATCAGCCTTTGCAATTCATCTGAGGGATGTGGGAAATACATTTCTGAATTGCGGGTTAAATTAATTACTCAAAGTTATGTATCAATATGCCCAGCAAGTAATGTGTCTATCAAAAAATACATTTCCTGAATCTTTTTTTGTTGTCTGTATTGTTACAGACATACTTGCTGGCAGGTATTTGAAATTACCAAAGTACAGTAATTGAAACTGGCATGATTGAACTGTATTCAGTGTTTTCCTGGTGATGGAGATGCGCTGCGCCTATGACACTAGACCAGAGTGGGCAAAAGGGCCTCCGCGGACTGGATCCGGCCCACCAAGCGGGAGGATCTGGCCGGTGGAGGCCCTGCTGCTCCCCCGCCCCCAGGCCAATTAGGTTCTGGGGGTGGTGGAGCACGCGAAGCCTCCTCCCACTCTGCTAGGAGCAGCGCTGTGCGCTGCTTGCAGGGCGGGGGATGGGAGGAAAGTGGAGGAGGCTTCATGCGCTCCCCTGCTTCCAGGTCAATCAGAGCCTGTGGGCATGGGAGCTGCGTGAAGCTTCCTTTGCCCTGCCCCAGCCCTGTGAGGAGCCCACGGCACTTCAAAGTGCCTCGTGCTCCTCAAATGACAGGAGAAGACTTCCCGCGCTTCCCCAGGCCCTGGAGGTGGGGAAGTGTGCCAAGCCTCTTCTAGGGCATGGGTGCCTAGTGGGAAGGGGGGGGGGGCAAAGGGGCTCCCCCACCCCCAGACCAATCATGGTGAACGAGGGCTACTTCAAAAAATTTTGAAGTGGCCCCTTGGCATATCGTGAGCAAAATTTTAAAGTTTTTGGCCAAGAATTTTTTTTTGGCCACAGAACTCCCCCAGGCACAGTATGTGTAGAGATATATACAGCAGATACATACCACTGCCAAAGAGGTGAATCATGCACTCATGAAGCCAAGGATGACTGGAGTCAATAGCAAATGCTCTCTTCACAGATTGCAGCATCAGAAGAAATTTCTCTGTAAAATGACATAATGGTAGTGGCTAGGTATAGAACTATTTTGAAAATCTTTTAAATGAAATCAAATTAAGTTTTAGATGTTAAGACTGAGAATGATAATTTATCTGAAATGTCTATGACCAGAACAAATCAAAGATGAATGTATTTTCGCTGATTCTTTTGCAAATCATTCACTGTTCACAGTATCCCTACTTCATTACAGTTAGTGAGTGAATTCAGAGATACAAGCTACTTAAACAAAAACTTTGTTTAATTTGATAAACTTAAATGTTAGCTATTTAAAACTTGTAGTCTGGACAGCAATTGTATATCTTGTTCCTTCTGTGTTACTGTACTGATAGTACAATTTATCCCCATGTAGTACGATATGGCTAACTTAAGGTCATTGTGATAAGGTACTGCATAGCAAAAATGCCTAAGGACGTTCAAATCACTTTTTTCCCCCCTAACTGAAAAGCTGGAAAGAATCAACCTCATAAGGCATCAGTGCCCAGCCCAGGTCACCATTGGAGGCAAGTGTAGATAACTCTGAGGTAGTCTATGTCACAGAATTCTAAGAAGCAATATGATATTTGTTATTCATCCAAGACCCAATGGGAAGGAAGAGAACAGTACTGTGTGGATCAAAAACGGATGTTAGGAACTTATCCCAATCTGAAACTAGACTTAAAAAAAATCTAAATATTATTTATTTTTATTAGGGATGCGAATGGGTAAAACCAGTTAACTGGGTAACAATTAACCAATACCCGGGAGCGGCCTACCACAACCGGAGCGCTGCTCAAGCCCAACAGGGGAGCAGGAGTACTGTGCAGGTTTGCAGGTGAGGCAGAAGCGCTGGCAGGTGAAGGGGAAGAGGACTGCCAGTTTCCAGCCCATGCAGACTCATGGACAGGGCGGAAACAGCAGCAGAGTGTACATGAGAGAAAGAGCTGGCATCCCTCCCCACCCCTGCCTTGGCTCCCCCCTTTCCTGCACAATGCTGTTAGCCACCAGGCCAGTGGGGCTGCAGCAGCAATGTGAGACCTCTCCAGCCCATCCCCATTTAACCGGTTAAACTTAAAGTTTAACTGGTTAACCAAAGTAAATGTGATTTTACATCCCTAATTCTTACATAAGAACATAGACCTGAAATCAGATTAAATGCAAATCCAAATGTAAAAATCTGCATGCTTTTAACTTGCATTCATGAATGACTATGGGTACAAGCAAGCTAACTGGAAATATGCAAGTCTGTACATTTTTAATCTCTGGTCCTTAAGGATTTAAAGATTATATCAAACAAACAACCTCCCCCCAAAGCAAGCCTCTGTACCCGCAACTGGATAACTGGATAAATGGCAGCTCTTCCAGATTTGAGAAAAGGTGGTCCTTGTTATTCCACAGAAAAATTAGGGCGGGCAATGTTTCCAATCAAAAGCTACATCCATCAACTAGTGTAGCAGTATAGGTCAGTATTATTAATTTTCAAATATATTACATTACTCTAGTGTGATAACGACAAAGTTATTTATTCTATTAGTTCTTTCACCTACCTTTCCTGAAGTAAATCTCAAAAGCAAAAAGATGGGTCTCTATTTTATTCTTTACCAAATTCTTTAATGGTGTTAAAAATTTAATGGCTTCTTCCAAAGGTGCTTCAATCTAAAAGTGCAAGAAATGTGACACTTAATGGGAATAAAATAAATGACATTAATTTTACCCTTTATGAACAGGAATATGAAACAAACAACATAACTGCTTTCACAGGGTGAGGCACACTGGATGTCCTGAATATAAATTATTTCATATATTGCATGTCAGATATATTCAGAAATTGGTAAAAGAATATGGATGTCAAAGTAGTAGCACGCGTTGGCTGCCTTTTAAAAAAAAAAATGTATGCTCAGGTATCTAGCACTCAGATGACATGCCACTCAACAGTCAGTAGAGCTGCCGATCCATAGCACCTTTCCCATCTAAGAAGCTGATAAGCGTTAGGGTAGACTTCAAGATTACGTCTACACTACATGCTTCTTGCACAAGAAGCCTTTTGCGCAAGAGTTTTTGCGCAAAAAATTCTTGCGCAAGAGCACGTCCACACCTCAAAGCACATCACAAAAGCGATGTGCTTTCATGCAAGAGAGCGTCCACACTGCATGGACGCTCTTGTGCAAGAAAGCTCTGATGGCCATTCACAGACTGGCCATCAGAGCACCTGTGTTTTCTCCCATAGGGGTTTCTTGTGCAAACAACCTCTGGAACATCCACACTTGCCTTTTTGCACAAGATCTCTTGTGCAGAAGGGAGTTATACCTCGTAAAAGGAGGTTTACCTATGGCAGAAAAAGCCTTCTGTTCTGCCGTTTTACTCTTGATTTCCTTGCACAAAAGTGCATTTGTGGTGTGGACTCTCCATGGATTTTTGCGCAAAAACCTTGCAGTGTAGACGTAGCCCAAGTGACTAAATATTTGTCTTGAGCTCCCAGCTAAGGAAGTTCATTAAACTAAGTTCTCTCTCTTGCTTTGGGTTCTATTTTCTACAAAAAGAAAAACTATTGTTATTTTTGGAGTTCTCAGCACCTCTGAATATCGTAAATTTAGGAATCTTTTGCTCAGTTCATTTTAAAAAACAGAAAACATCTCTAGCTCTTTCTCTAGTACAGCTGTATCTCAAAATTTAACGAGACAATGGAAGTTCATTAAACTAAGTTCTCTCTCTTGCTTTGGGTTCTATTTTCTACAAAAAGAAAAACTATTGTTATTTTTGGAGTTCTCAGCACCTCTGAATATCGTAAATTTAGGAATCTTTTGCTCAGTTCATTTTAAAAAACAGAAAACATCTCTAGCTCTTTCTCTAGTACAGCTGTATCTCAAAATTTAACGAGACAATGGGGGGGGGGGGCTCATTAGTAGATTGCAATTTCCTCTGAACCTCTGAAGATTCACTGGGGATTCTCCCCTCTCCTGAAACATTTTAAGGAAGTCCATTCCAAAAGACCAGCTCCTCTCACACTGCTCCAAGCCCTGTGTTCTCAGCCAGTCACCTCCCTTTTCTGTAGGCTTCCTGAGGTCTTACATCCTACATTTGGGATTACAGGAGTCTCCGATGAACCTAAGGAAGTTTTCTGGTTGGAAAAGTCAGAAAATGGCTAGTGCTTCTTCCCCACTTCTTCCAGCTATTCCTCATATCGGTTTCAAAGCACCCTCAAATGCCATCAACCCTCCTGCTACTGGCAGTTTCCACAAACTACCACATTTCTGATAGAAGAGGACCTTGGGGGACAAGCTGATGTTTGGTTGAAGAACATTCTGCTTGGATGTCATAGGAGCAGAAAGGTCCAAATGATATTCCTGGGGGAATTCTCACAGCACACCTGGATCCCCCCACACTAAGCCCTGCCACACTTGAATCCTGCCTGGTTGAGCTTGCTCGCCCCACACCTGGTGTACCTGTCAGAAGGGCAAGATACAAGAGTGTTTCTGAGGCAGGCCCTGGCCCTGTTCTGTGTCAGGGCCGGTGAAGCTTCATCACTGTGTCCCAGGGTGGAAGGTGGGAGGGCTGCAGGGTGATCTTTCAAACTTTGCACATCCAGTGGCAGGTCTCCCCACTGATATACAGGAGCTTCTGCATTTATTTATTGACAAATAAAACTTGCAGAATTTTAAAATACTGTGTGCAGAATGCCCTCAGGAGTAAAATGGGAAGGGCACTCAGGAAGTGCACAGGGCTGCAAGACAATACAGCAGGGGTGAGGAACCTAAGTCTCAGGGCTTCCCCCCAGCATTGAGGAGACCACACTGATGCTCCAGCCCCCTCTCCCCTCCCTCCCTCCCCTGCTATCCATCCACAGAGCTCGAACACACAAAATCTACTAGCCTGGGCCCCCCCTAAGGCTCTGGTGTGTAAGGATAATGAGGGGAGTGTCTTTCTCATTCTCAGTCAGGAGCCACATCAGTGAAGGAGTTGGGGTTTTGGGGGGAGGAGGGGTTTGTTTTTGTTTTGCTTCTCACTTGTGTATAGTCCCCAACTGATTTTTCTGTGGGTCAGTGACCCCTGACCTTAAAAAGGTTCCCCACCCCTGCAATACAGAATTCAAAACAGTGGTACTCCATCTGACAAACCACCTGTGGTTCAGTAGAAGGTGCAGTATTGATGAGGTAATAACATGTATGTATTTAGCTCAAATCACATACTCAAACACTGCTTTTCAATACCATGATTCTTCATAAAATGTGTGTACTGCACACAAAATAGAGGCTTTGCTTCTCTCGAGTAGTGCCAGTGGAAAAGGAATCACTATACGTAGCCATTGCTGCCCTTACTCATCATATCAGAAACAGAGTAGTCATTTTACATTTTTTCTCTGAAGCAGACCCTTAATGTTGCCCATCAGAGCCCAATTTTTTTTTCCAGTTGGAAAGGAACAAAGGACAAATTCAGAGCAGGAAATAAAGCATATTGAAATGTATTACTCCAGTGATGAGACACTCTTCTACTAACCCTTATTCCATAGTGTCTACTTGCACATGGAGATACTGATAGATCCTGAGCACAGATGCACCCAAAAAAGGCATGGGGAGCAGTTGCCACCAGCTCAGCTAATATAGCTAGTGTAATCAGCATTCTGTGGATCAAGGCATTTACAATATTCCCCATTTTGAAAGATTTGTTTTGCCAGAGATCCTTCCCTAATAGTTAATAAAATAGATAATCTGCCTTCTAAATATATTAGTTTAAAGATTAGTTAGAGGCTGTTGTGCTTAGACAATTACTTCATCTGAGGCTACCATAAGGGTTTTTTTAATATTTTGAGACCGAAGCAATTCAAAAAAGAGTCAGCTGTTAGTGTTTATCACTGGTAATACATTCTTTCACAAACAGGAGTTTCAAAGTAAGTTTTCATTGAGGTCTGTCATCTGAAACTACCCTCATGATAATGAAAAAATTTAAAGTTAGAAAAGTTTCTCTAATACTCAATGCTGGCATTTCTTTGCCTCACAGATACACTTCATACAAAATCATCATTTATCACTCAACTATTCCTCTTTCACAGCTCTTTTTCATGGTCTTCAACAGAACTAATCTGCATTAGTGTAATTCATTTCTCTGGTTTTACTCAGGTTTGTCTTTAAAATTCAACTTGTCCAATCCGTAACTATTTAACCTTCATACCAAAAACCAAATCAATCTTTTCAAATCAATGCTTCCTGTCACTACAACACCTTTCAGTTATAAATCCCCAATACTATTCAGGATCCTCATGGAATTAATTTGCTCTCCCCATCTGTCCTATTCTCTTCTGTGCTGTTGACCACACTTCAAATGTGGTCCCCTGAGCAAGGTGGGATCTGGATTTGTGCTCCGGTAAGGGCACAGGTGGAAGGGGCAGGACTGTGCAGCCAGCCCTCTGCACTGTCTGGAGTGGGTGTCACTCTGAGCCACCAGGAACATGTGGTGCTCCACTGACAATTTAAAGGGCCCAGGGCTCTGGCCACTGTCACAATAACAGCAGCAGTGGCTGGGAGCTCTGGGCCCCTCTGAATTACTGGGCTTCAGGACAGGTGCCCCCCTTTACTGCTGCTGTTGGCAGGCCTGCTCTTACTCAAAATGTATATTTCGCAAGAACAGAAGCACAGAACATTCTTCTCATATGCTGTTCTCCTTCTGACTACTGCACTGTAGTCAAGTGTAAAACTATTACATAACTTGTAATCCAATCTCAAACCCATCCTCCCAGTCTACGACTAATTCCACACAAATGTTTCACAATTTCCCCTATCTTTTTACTGAAACTTTTTCAGTTACTTTTTAATTCCTGACTCAATAGTTCCACAATACCTGTTAAAGAATGTAATAGTGAATGTATCTATCTCACCTTCAGAATATGAAGATTTTCAACCTGCTAAACTTGATGGTAGATGTAATTAGTGACCTCCTAGTACAACACATGTATGACAATATTTCTACTTCCTGCGAGGGAGCATCCAGCAGTTCTTGCTGCAATGCATGTTGTCTTTGAAGGACGAGAGAGAAACTCAGATCCTCTGTAACACTTGTAGATTACAAACCAGAGAAATTATTCCAGAAACTTTTGTTTTCAATTTGAGACACTTTTAAATGGAATATATGTAAGAATAAAATTATTTAACGATATCTGGAGTTCGAGGCAGGCAATATTCTGAAAAGCCGATTTTAATCTGATAGCCAATTACTTAACATTGTTCTGGCAAGTAAGTACCTTTGCTAGTTTCTCAGGGATAAGTTCTTCTTTTGGGCCACCGATTTCCTCATCATCATCATCCTTTTTTTTCTTCTGATTTCTCTGCTGCTTCTCTTTTTCTGCATTCTTCTTCTCCTCCTCTAATTGTGCTTTCTTCTGTGCTCTTCTCTGCTTATTACGAAGTTTCTTTAGCTCCTTGTCAGACATATTTGCTGCACAAAGACAATATGTTACAATATAAGGGTGATTACACATGGATTATCTTTTTTTAAAAAACTACATATTTACCTAAACACTTAGCAAAAATATTTGAGGTAAACACTTAAATCTTTAAATGTATGGTGTTATTAGGTTTAACTTCTAATAAAGATTCAGCACCCTTCTTCAGCACTTCTCTGGTATCGAAGTCTCCAGTCCACAAATCATCCAAGCTGTTCTTCAGTTAAGACAGACAAGACTGATATTTTTAAAATAAAACCATGGTCCCCTTCAAATACTTAACATAGAAGACTTAACGGATCAAAAAGCAAAAGATGTCTGAGATAGTCTGAACTCTCATGTTCACTCTTTTTACAAATTATAATGATTTTTGTACAGAGTATACCTTGTGAAGTATCATTTGAAAAAAGCCATAATTTGATTATCATTATTGTCCTGGTAAATTATGTGTGATAACACTTAAAGGTAAAGTTATAAGATTCTAATGTACAACATTACTAAGACATGTTCCAAGTTTAGAAAAGCAGGCACAAGCCTGTTCCTCAAAGACAAAACGCAAAAGTGATGCTCCAGCCAGGTGTAAACAAAATCAAATGGATAATCACATGGTTGAAAAGTCTTTCTTCAGCCGGAAAAAGGGTGAGAGAAATTTACATTTTGGGAGAAAAAAAAAGCTATAGGCTTGTGTTCTCCCAGACTTCTTATCTCCTGAACCTCAGCTAGACCTAACTTTCAAAGAGCTATAGGAAAGGGAGACAGATGTCCCATGATCTTTCTCCTTGGATTCCTACCGACAACTTGAAGGACAAAGGAAGCATCAATGAACTGAGAAGAGATCATAGATGAAAAGATTTCACCAGTAAAACTGATAAAATAAGGACTGTGTTTTCCTTTGAAATTACTTTGCTTGTTCAATTAGGTGTTAGCTGCATTTTATTTTTTATTTTCATTGTAACCATTAGTTGCAGACTGATAAGCACTAGGATTGTAGGGCTGGATGCAAAGATGGAAATAAGATTTTGTATAACCTGGAAGCATTGGTTTGGTAAGTAGGCCTGGGCTGTAGTGGAGTCTAGATGAGCTCTTATGAACTCCAGAACTTGAGTTGGGTGCAACATAGATTTTTTTTTTTGGTTAGTTTATAAGGAGCCTTAGGTCTCAAAGGCTATGTCTAGACTACATTCCTCTTTCAACAAAGGAATGTAAATGAAGGACTTAGAAATTGCAAATGAAGCGCTGATTTATAAATTTTGCGCTTCATTTGCATAATGGATTCCAATCGCTTTTTCAGCAAAGGATTTTTCGGAAAAAAAATGCGGTCTAGATGCGGTTCTTTCAAAAAAAAGCCCTCTTTTGAAAGAACCCTAATGCCTGAAAAAATGAGTTTTACAGGTTCTTTTAAAAAAGGGTTCCCCCCCCCCGAAAGAACCGCATCTAGATAGAGGGCTTCCCCCCCCCGAAAAATCCTTTGTCGAAAAAGCGATCGAAATCTATTATGCAAATGAAGCATGAAATTTGTAAATCAGCACTTCATTTGCAATTTCAAAGTCCTTTATTTACATTTCTCTGTCAAAAGACAATGCAGTCTAGACGTAGCCAAAGAGTCTCTTGGTGAATAGCACCATGTTGCAGATCACTTCATGGGAGGGGCCAGATAATCGACCAGGGGATAAGGCAATCGACCAGGGGATAAGGCAATCATAACTCCTGCCATCATAAGTAAGCCATGACGAATGCAAGGGTCTTCAAAAAGACTCTGGGAGGGGAAGATAGACTGAAAAGAAGGACTTGGTAACTGAAAATGTTTGGAGGTTACTGTGGACTGCAGAAACTGCCTGTGCAATGGAAGTATGGTCACATGAAAATAAAGATCATGGAGGTTGAGGGCTGCAAACCAGTCTCCCTTGTTCAGTGCCGGGATGATCAATGCAGGCGTGGTTATTTTGAACCACTGCTTGCAGAGGTATTTGCTTAGTTTGCGATGATCAAGGATGGGTCTCCAACCACATGTCCTCTTTGCTGTGAGGAAGTAACACTCACCCCTGGCATTGGTCAGGCACTCGCTCTATGGCTCCCATGTGTAACAAACTGTTTACTTCTTGCTTCAGGAGCGGTTTGTGAGAAGGTCCCTGAAGAGGGACAGAGAGGGTAGGGAGGGAAGAGGGGAATGGTGTATCCTGATCTTACTTACTCTCTCGATGACTCATTGGTACACACTGATGGTAAAAGGGGCACAAATAATCATAAAATGCTGTTGCATCATTGTGAGTTATTGGGAGAGGTCGGGCAGACCTTTGACCAAAAACTCAAAAACTGCTGCTTTGAAGAGAGTGTTGGGTTGATGAACAGATGTTGGGAGACTGCCTCTTTCAGGCCCTTGTTCTGGAACGATCCTAATCAAAATCCCTCTGTGGGTGGCGATGGTATGGGGGAAATCTCCCTGTCTTTGATACAGGGTATAGCACCTTCAGTGATAGGGCGGTATGTACATCCCTAATGAATGCAGAGTTGTATGGGAGTCTTTACTGGAGTGGAGGACCTTGTCAGTTTTTACTGCAAAGAGTTTGTCCCTATCAAAGGGGAGGCCCTCCACCTTGCTCTGAAGCACCTTAGGAATTCCAGCATCCTGAAGCCACGACATTTGGTGCATAACTATCAATATCCTGGTTGCTTGTGCAGCTGTGTTGTGTCCGCTACGTTCAATGCCATCTGAAGGGCAGTATGAGATGTGGTATAAATCGTCTTGCACTATGGATTTGACAACTGGGTGTGTGAGATTTGGGAGATGTTCTATGGAGCTCATCAGTTTTGTATAACTGTCAAAATTGTGATTGCCAGCAGAGCAGTATAGCTGGTAATATGTAGTTGTAATGTTGATAAGGAGTATATTTTTTGACCACATAAATAGTGTCATTTATGTTCTTTGTCCTGGGCAGAGGTCTTAAACTGTGGCAACTTTGCCCTGTGATGGGCTGCATTAACCACTAACGAATTTGGCTGAGTGTTGGAGAATAAAAAAGTCCATACCCTTGGACAAGACAAAGTATTTTCTATCAATCTTTTTATTAGTTCAGGGAGCTGAGCCTGGCATTTGCCATACCTCATCGGCTGCCTCTGTTATTGCCTCATCAATTGGGAGCACCATCTTAGACTGAAGCATGGGTTGTAAGTTCTTTAAAAGTCAATGCTGCTTTTCCTGAACTTCAGTAAGGGTGACTTCCTAACCAGTGGCAACATGGTTGAACAGCTCCTGGAACTGCTTCAAGTCATCTGCTGGCGATGGATTGGCCAGTATCACCGCTGTGTCAGGAGAGGAGGATGACTGGTCTATGTCTGTCACAGAGTGCATGGGATCTGGCAGGACACAAGTGTTGGGAAAAGAATACACTCCTCTGGTCATCCAATGATTGGAGAGCTCTGGTGATCTGGGTGGGTGAGCCAGGAGACTCTCTTGATGAAGGGGGCAATGGTGACGACTGCCTTGAACCGCAGCAGTGGAGTTGGCACCAGGATACCACAGTCATGCCTGCAGGAAGTGGAATGATGCTGGCCCAAGACATCGTCTATTGGTGCCAAGGAACGCGGTGCCAAACATGGGAGGCAGTGGTGCCAGGGGAGAAGGAACCAGTGTCACATTCAGTGTCTTTGGCAGCAGTCTAGCAGATTTTGACCATGCCTTAACCAGTGCTGGTATTTTAGGTGGCACCTGCGGTGTAGCCAGTGCCGGAGTCTTGTCCAGTTCTCATGCCTTGGGTGCCACTCGGGGCAGTGCCAAAGGGTGGGAATGGTGAGATTTCAGTGCCATGCCCAGTGCCGGATGTCCCCGGTTTGTCTCCCAGGGACATCTGGGCCAGTTTGTCTCCCGTACAGACCTTAGCTGGTAGGGAACAGGATGCACACACCTTTTTCTTTGCAGGTGCTTTTGTTGTCAGACAACTCGCTCATCTCTTCTGTTTGTTAGCAGACTCAGACTGGGTATTAGTGTCTCGATAGTCCGAGGGCTGTAAAGGCTTGTCAAAGCAGAACATGCGGAGATTCAGCTCTCTTTCTTGATGTGCTCTGGCCTTAAGGCTGCAACAATGGACACACTTCTGAGAGACGTGTGTTTCTTGAAGGCAGCAAATGCATGAAGAGTGGCCATCAGAGGCCAGCATATATTTGTTACAAGGTTCATACTTTTAAAATCCAGGAGTTCCTGACATAGTGCCAATTAGGCTAACAGCTCAACACCATAGGCTGTTGTATTGCTCTTTTCCTCTTCTGTTCCTCCTCATTTTTTTCTTATTTTTTTTAAAGAGTTATAATGAAGAGAAAGGGGAATGAATCGTCAGGGAAGGCCACAACCAGGGCCTGTTCCCACTATATGCTGTCTCCCCACCCCTTTTTTTAAACCATATATAAGATTTTTGTTAACAGTAAATGAATTAACAAGGGAAAAATATTAAAATTATATTTTAACTCTTATCTAGATAAAGCTGAGAGACACTGAGCTCTGTCCGAGATGGAGAGTGGTAGCAAAGGAACTGAGAAGAGGACGGGCAGTGCCCGTGAACTGCAAAGGTGCGAATGGCACAAGGCGCCTATCGCGGATGTGTTGCCCGACTGGCTACTACTGTGAAAAACTCCAATATGCAGTGTCAGGACGACCCAACATGCACCCTTGGGGACATCACTCAAAGAAGGAAACATGTTTTATTGTTTTACCTAAACCAGGGTGTGTTTAAACTAACATGTTTGGGAAACTTCTTTTCGGATAACAAGATTTGTGCATATAATTTTCTGTTAATGAAATGATAAACTTTACATGAACATTCATTGTCCAAGAGGGAGCAGTACAGGACACAGATTTCTTGAGGAAAGTCTGAGAATGGGAGTTCGCTGGTATTGTCCTGCAGTGTAATTGAAGGGTGGCTGGCTATAGCACTCTTACAGTATAACTGGGAGTGATTTACATGCTGAAAGTAGTGTGTAAGTTGACCAGGAGTGGTTGCTGTCAGAGCAACACAATGTAAAAGGCACCCAAGGTTAGAATTAAGGGGACACAGCTATCCATTAGTCTAGATTTTACCCTGGAGAATGTCACAACAGCACAACTCAAGTTTCTACCCTTTGCACATTGCCTTCAAATTATGCTTCAACTTATTGGAAGAACAACTGCTTCTAATGCAATCATCCCTCAGATTGCTACCCTGAGACAAGACACCATGACCATGGAGCATTTTCTCAATCATTCTCAAATTACGTTCGGAGGTTTTTCTTTTGGAAATTATACAAGGGCTTGAAAGATTTTTTTGGAATGACCACTGCAAAATTCTAATGTTAGCATGTATACTGTATTATTAACATTAATGTATATAAACATAAATACCTATATTGTATAAACAGAATGCATAACACCACCATCATATTTCATATGGAGATTTCAAAGCACTTGGTCAAAAGTTATGCTATTATCCCATTTTTTACAGATGGGGAAATGGTGGCAAGAGAATTAAAGTGACTGCCCCAATATTGTCAAGCAAGCTAATGACAGTTAATTAGAACCCATGTCTCCACAATCTCAGTCCAACATTTTCTCCACTAGGCCACACAGCCTCCAGTTTTTAATAGAGTCAGCATTCACTCATTACAAGTCAATTCTTGGCTGTCACAACTCTGTTAGAAGCTCCAGGCTAACTATGAATGTCAAATATACGAGTATCTATATCTATAGAATATAACTCAACCACTTAAACTGCAAACAAAATATATCCAGGAAATTTCTTATACCTGTATCAGTCTCGTGTTCTTTATTCTCATCTGTTAGGGGATTATCATGAAGCTTCAAATATATTTCTATAGCAATTCGTGCTGCCTTGAAGTAAAATGGATGTTGTCGAAGTACATCTTCTAGTTTTAACAAGTCCACATAAGACCTAAGTGTAATCTTTCTCATACAGTAAGTGTGAAAGTCAAACTGGTCATCTGTAATTTCTACAAAATGCTAACAGAAAATAGCAAGTTTTAGCAAGTGTTAGAAAACAAAACAAATACATATTTTCTTATAAGCAACTACAAAAAGAAAATGAAACTAAAGAAAAACGAGACAACTGATAATGGATCAGGGTCTTACATACCCAGCTAGTGAGAGCAATTCAAGTTTTTGTACTCTGACTTAAGAAAAATGCATTAAGTTATGGATAAAGTAACAAAATGGCATTTTCCTCCTTAAAAAAGAAAAATAATTCCACAAGCTGCCCAATACCCATGTTAAAAAAGAATACTCCAGGAGCAACGCAGCGTAACAAGTCAGGAACAATAAGCACAAGTTTCTTTCAGACACTACTACAGTCAATGGAAAGCCAGGGAAAACTAAAGCAGACTTGTAAAAGTACTTATTTTGTGAGGAAAAAATTGTAGTTCATGTTAAATTTTAAGAAGAAATAAAATGACTTTGCGGATGAGTACAGTCTTTAGCACACTAGCTGAGTAACTGCAGAATACCAAAGTTTTGACTTGTGGCACAACTTTTCTCCTCCATCAGTGAAACCAGAGATTAAATCATTCTGATCTTCTGGCTACTTTCTGACACCTTGGGACTGTAAAATTATAATGGCCTTGTTTGTCAACACTAATGAAGATTAGGTCCCAATCCAGCAAGCATTTAGGCACATGCTTAACTTTATTCTAGGGATGTTAGAAATTGTTTAATTGAATAATCATTGAACTGCATCAATTTTTACCAGATACATGATTATTCGATGACCCCGGGGGTGGGACCAGCAGACTGTCCATCCCACTCCCAGGGAGACCCCTGCCACCCCGCGCTGCTGCCTCTGTAAAAGGAACAGTAGCGTGGGGTGGCAGGCAAAGCCAGTCTGCAAGGGGAGCTGATTTAAAAATTGGCTTCTCATGCAGACTCACTCCTGCCTGCCACCCTGCTCTGCTGCCTCTGTATCCATTGGTTGCCAGAGCAGATTCTATCTGTGCAGTGTTTGGGATCTCCATGGACAGGAGCTGCTGCTGCCTTGCACTGCTTTTTAAACTGGCTCCCCACACGGACCAGTTCCTGCCTGCTGCCCCTCCTAACAGAGGCAGCAGTGTGTGGTGGCAGATGGCTCTCCTGCATGCTCTTCATTTAAAACTTGGATCAGCAGGCTAGGACTGAGCCAGCCTGCCTGTCCAAATTATAAATTCAGAGCACGTCAGGAGGTGGATGGGAGAAGAGGGTGTTTGTTGCAGTTAACCAGGACCATTAACTGATAAATAGTAGCTTCTCGGTTAAACGGTTATCTGGCTAGCTGCTACTTTATTCATATGAGTAGTTCCATTTAACACAATGGGATTATCATATGAGTAAGATTAAACACATTTGTGTTTGCAGGATTAGATCTTTATTTAATACAGTTACAATTAGATATGGGTATAGTCTATAGATGCCACTTCACATTTGGAAGGCCAAACCATATCACAGGAAACTACAAGGTTTCTAAGGGCCCAACAAAAGATGTTGATGTTTAGATGGAAACATGTCATGGCAGTAAAGCTAAACTGGACATTTTTATGGATTAAATATACTTAGATACATACTCTCTCAATTTCGTGGCATTTCTTAAGTGCTTCTCCAAATTTATTCATTGCCTTGTAAGCTTGGGCACATTCTGTCTGGAACCACATGCACTGCATTTCATTTAAATTCTCTACTGCTGAGGTTCCTTCCTAAAAGCAAAACAGAAGTATTAGAAATAATCCAAAAACATTCCCTTGCTCAGGTACACCTCAGTTTTCTCCTCCCTCCTGCCTTCCCTAAAGGAAGAGAAGAACAAATTAATAGAGGCAATAACTAAGGGCAGCTTGGAGCCTTAGTGCCTGTCAAAAATAAAGTGAATAAGTCTCAGAGTGGTAGCTCTGTGAGTCTATTTGTAATAAAAGTGAGGAGTCCTGCGGCACCTTAAAGTCTAACAGATTTATTTGCATACATCTGATGGAGTGGTTTTTACCCAGGAAAATTTATGCCCAAATAAATCAATAGGAGAGCAGTCATTCTGAAAGGGAGTAATCTGATGAAAGACAATGCCAAGCCTTTGCAGAAAAATAATTTTTCAGCTATGAAAAACACTAGCAAAAAGTGACCATCAATTCTCAAAAATTCTTCACATGTAGCCTATGCATGAGATTTCAGTGCCTTTTAGCCTCTAATTTATAAAGCAAAAACAGAGGCTAAGTATGTCTCTAACTGAAACAAAAAGAAACAATTAAAAGAACCTGCAGAACATAATACTGTCCTCCCCACAACTCTGATTGCTCTCAAAATCCCACCTCCGCAGCAGCCCAATGAAGAAAATGCACCTTAAGAGTGTGTCTCGGAAATCATTACATCCAGGATATTTCAGACAGAGGATGGCAATAGCCTGTTCCAGAGACAAGGGCCATCACAGTACACTATTACCAACTATGTGGAACTTCTATGAGGAAAGTTTGAATAGTCTCTGTTATTGAAATAATTTGGAACCAAAAAAGATTTTACAAAGTAGTCTAAAGGAATGTTAAGAACTAATTTAAAATCTATATAGATTTGTGTGTAAATTCTCTGAAACATTTGTACTTCTGGGGAAGATGTACTGAATTTTTCATATGTAACGAAGAAGTTGAATCCTTCTAAGTGCAAAGCTCAGCTTAACCTTAACTATGGCGCCATTATCACCATGTATATGTGAAATCTAGCTACAAACTACAAGTGACACAAGCAACATTCATAACTCAGCCACAGCAGAGAAAGAAAACTAATTACTGCCCAAAATAGAGGCTCAGAAGGACAGCTAAAATATTCAAGGTACTTCACACTTGATTATGTCTACATTTTGTTAATCAAAAAGTACAGTAACTGGAACAAACCCTGGTGAACTTAGAACACATTTCTTCCGCCTCTTTAATCAAGTTGGCTTTCAACATATATTTTGCACATTTGGAGTTGATAAATCTGTCCGCTGTGTCCAAGGCCTGGGCTTCATCCATCCATCTTGCAGCTTCTTTAATGTTTCCAGCATGCTTAAAAATAAAAACAAATAGGGAAGGGAATTGTAAAATGCACATAGTTTAGTCTTATCTGCCCACTCCTCACTAACTAATTAAACATTATACAAGAGAGTTAATTTCAACAAGGAATCAAAAATATTAAGCAGTTTGCTTACAACAAACAAAAGCATACCTCAAAACCCAACCCCCCCCCAAACACAACCACATCTCAATATTACAGTTTCCCTCCTTCAACAATACAACCTCCAAACAGAACTTGTTAATTCATATTTTGCTAATTCACAAACCTAAGAGCTCTTAATAAACTGAGGGTTCACTACAACACTTTGTTATAGAGAAGTAGGGTCAGATTAGGGTGTTTTTATTATATGTTTATTAAATACAGTTACAATTGAAAGTCTCACTGCAAAACACAAGTCCTATCTGATAATTAAGAACAAACCAATCAACATTACCTTATAGATTTTAGCCTTCACAAGAAAGAGTTCTATCAAGGTGGGAGTACTTTCTATAGCAGCATTTATGTAATCCAGAGCCATGGATGGCTGCCCAATTTTGTCATAATGTTGTGCCAAGTAGTACTGGACCCAGAGTAAAGTGGTAGGAGGTTCTTCTTTACCATCATCTATGGGGGAAAAAAGATGTTATATATTCCATTGTAACAGCATGTAGCACAAGGAATATCTATTAATATAGTGTACCGAATTTATTGTTTACCTTTACATTTAGCTTTCAACCCACTGATCAGAAAAGTAGGAAACATATGTAAACCTATGTAAATTACTGTTTTAGGTCAAAGATATAATACACCAATTACATATGTTAACAATTGAAATGTATCATAGTTAAGGCTACAAATTTAATCAGGGGTATTTTTTTTAAATCAGTCTGTGACCTGTCCATGACTTATATCATAAATATCCCCAATTGAATCTTGGATGGGAGGGAGGAGAGCCTAAGACACCAGCTGCCTGAGGGGGAGGGCTGCCGCTGCTCTGGCTACCTTGGGATGGCTTGTAGAAGCCACCAAGCTGCAGCTGCTCCTGCTGGCATCAAGACTCCTGCTCAGGCAGTTCACAGAACCATTTGCATTGTCTGCTGCTTAGGCAGTCCATGGGGCCAGCTACCTGGGATCGCCAGAACAGCAGGCCGTGAATCTGACTGTGCTGCTCTAGCATCAGCTGATATAGCTGGTTGTGAGGCCATGTAAGCAGCTGGCTGCAGAGCTGCTCCAACAGTAGTCAGTGCAATTACCCCCAGGGCCAGCTGCTCAGGCAGTCCTGGAATCAGCCACACTAGCCACTGGGGTCAAAGGAAGGTACAGAATCTGCAACTTCTGTGACAAAAACAGAGTCCTAATTTGACATTTACATCAGTATATTTTCAATACACCAATTTAAAACATTTTAAATATTTAACTAGTTCAGACTACTGTCACCAATGTATTCTTATCCCAGTGTAAGTATCTTTAAAAAGCTTGGGACACAGATTGTGTTGGAATAAAATAGAATCTAGAATAGAAACATTTATTCCATTTTTTTCAAAAGTAACCCTAAATCACACGTATAGATCTCTCCTTTGTGTGCAACATAAACCACTCTGAAATGACTTGATCCTGCATGGTGCTGAGACCCAGATCCAGCAAAGCACTTAAGCACCACTCAGTAGAGAGGCTTAATGTTAAATTCACTGCCAAATTGGGAGCTGATTGCTCAGTACCAGAACAAGCCCAAAGGCTTTAATTCTTCGGTACTTATGCCAACAATCATATATTTACTTTTAATTTTCATAGGAGAGAAAGTATTAAACAGATAAAAGTTTTGTTCAGCCATGTTCACACAAATGTGTGCTAATTTAAACATTTTAAAAGTTTATGTTTAGATTTTGAGAGACTGCCTTATTTCAGTTCAGCTTAATACTGTAAAATGACAAGAGATTATGCCAAAATGAAGAAAGCCATTTTCTTAGCTTAAGAGCATCTCTACGCTACTTGAACTGTTTTGGAAAAAACTCCACATCTTTAGTTAACTGGTGCAAGTTTACAAGTAGATAATGTTTGCACGTTCAAGGAAGGATGAATTTTGAATTAATGTCCCAAAGAAGGATTTTACAAGATTGTGAAACAGTTGTCATTATTGAATAAGGCAAAATATCTTAATATGGGAATTTTAGATCTAAAATTCTTTTTATGTAAATAGAAAAAAATTCTTCTTTCACATGGAGGCCATAATTATAATTCTCATCTCATCCCATTTAAGGATATTCCAAGATATGATATCTTGAAGTGAGTACAGAGCACTGCCCAGGCCAGTGGTCCCCAACCATTTGAGGTTGCCAGGCGCCAGGGGGCGTGGCCATTCGCCCGCCGGGTGCAAGGGGGCGTGGCCCCCCATAATAGAAAAAAATTCTTCTTTCACATGGAGGCCATAATTATAATTCTCATCTCATCCCATTTAAGGATATTCCAAGATATGATATCTTGAAGTGAGTACAGAGCACTGCCCAGGCCAGTGGTCCCCAACCATTTGAGGTTGCCAGGCGCCAGGGGGCGTGGCCATTCGCCCGCCGGGTGCAAGGGGGCGTGGCCCCCCATAGCCGCACGCCTGGGGCCGGGCCCCCCCCAAGCACCGCGCGCCCGGGGCCA